AGCAGTTATTTCTTCATCGCTTTTAATGATTTTTCTTCGTTGGAGAAGGCCATAAAGAGGCCCGCAGCTACTCTTTTAGGATTAAGCCTGGGAAAGGATAGGGATCACCACCTTGCAGCGAGGTGGAGTGCGGATGATCACAGCCACCTCAGCCGCTCTACTTTCGGTGCGTGGCCCCTCCAACTACGTTACGCCGCTGGTCCCATACTCGTTAATTGTCAGGAGATCGCATGCTTATAGTGTTCTCTCATGCTCGTTCCCATTCCTCCTCATTATGTCACTTCTCAGCGCCATTATTCCGACCACATTTTTCTTCCTTCAGCGAGCTTCATCTCGTGTATGCATAATCCCTAATGGTAACAATTTCAGCTCATTATTGGGGCGATCGATGGACCGTCTACGGCGATCCATTCGACAGTCATTTCGTAGAGGAGGACGGCGTAGCCCCGAAAGTAGCACGCCTTCAGAACTTGTCACAACATCAAATGGCGCAGGTGGTCACAAACAGGAGCAGTGGCAACCTGATGAAGCTGCTGTACGAGCTGGGTTATGTCACTTCACTGTCAAGGTCCGCTTTTGTGAATTTTTCTTTTGTTGTGTTGGTGTTTTTCTTGAATTGCTTTTATTTCAGTATTTGGGAGCAGTGGAGGTTTACGAATCTCGTGGTATGCAAGTTTGTGAAGGAGCACTGAAAATGCTCAGGGTCAGTTTCATTGGCGTACACTTGTGTGATTAGGCCATACATTTGAGCCATCTACCTACCGTGCTTTCAGAGTAATAGAAGGCGCCCTATAAAAGCTGTTCTATATGTATCTGGAGACGGGTTACGCGTCGTTGATCAAGAAAATAACAGGGGATTAATTGTGGACCAAACAATAGAAAAGGTAGATACGGTTTTCTTCTCGTCATTATTTCTTACTTTGGTCATTGGCATTTGAATCACCTCTTTTGAGAGCTGATGGGGCTTCATTTTTTTTTTGCAATTTTTCGTAGCTGAAAAAGAAGGGTAGAAGGAAAGGGTTAGAAGGTTTCGAGAACGTTTTTATACTTTGGGTCAGCGTATTGAGCGTTCCCACCGGTGTTTTAAGCGACGGAAGTATAGGTATTGATCGCTACGCCAGCGTACGCTCAATACTCTGGTTCAGTAGCTTAC